ACCGTCGCATTGCTTGTCAGCCCATGCTGCGGCAGCGTCTCATATAAAGTGGAGGAAGATGGGCACAGATGTTAGCCCAGGGCCAGTCTTCCTCAGCAAAAAGAGGAGGATTGGCATGGATGTTAGCTGAGGGCTGATCTTCCTCACAAGAAAATAAAAAATAAAATATTGAACATTCGTGAGCAGTTCTAGATCCAGACAAAGTCTAGCCAATGTGAAGAGATGGTTAGAATGGCGGTAGTCAACTGTTAATGCTGAAGAGGCCACTGACATGGATGTCGACAACACCAGGATGAAAGGAGGTGTGAAGATGCAACATAGATGGTGCCGGCTGGCAGCCAGGGCTTCAGAGGAGAAAGGGTCACTGAATCAACACTCCAAAGAAGTGATCTGGAAGGACTCCACACCTCCTAGGATCCAGAGAAGGCTCATCTTCAGAATGAGAGGTTTAAGAAGGAGCAGCAACAGGCAAGCTGAAGATAAGAGGGTGAAGGTTTTTACACAAAGGCATAAGTTTTTTGATGATAATTACAGAGAATACAATAGAAGTTAAATTCAGCATGGAAGAGAGGCAGGGCTGGGGGTGCAGAGGGGTTGTGAAAGGACCAGAGGAATCAGGAAGCAAGTTGGTCACCATGAAGGTCTACAGTGTCTCTTTATTTCCTCCAAACACCTATCAACCACTCAAATATCACTAGTTCACTTCCATACTTCTTTTAAAATGCAAAGAAACCATGGTAGCAGTTATATACAGTATAGTCAAAGTTATTTTTGTTCTTATTGAAATGGATTTGGGGCCAAGGTCAAACTCAAGAGAACCTAGCCTTTAACACTGAATCAAACAAAGGTGCCAGTGAAGGTAGATTTCAAGACTATACCACCTAACATAGGCGTTAGCCAAGAGGCCATGGTCAATAGCAAAGCTCAGTTTAAATTAGGCCCCTTGGAGAAGAGTCCAAATATTAAGGGAATTATGGCCCCTAAGGTGACCACACATCCCTTCCCCCAGAGAAAGCACCATCTTTCAGAGAAGTATCCAAGGCTGATAATGTTGATAATGCAGTATGTTTCCTGAAACCTAAAACAAGTTCACCATTGAGGCAACGCCAAGAAATGAGCATAACTGATAAGGTTTTCTTTTTTTAAATAGATCTTTATTTCTCACACTCAAAGCTTTATTTCATCAAGTTCTAACACATTTTCTGTTGACAAATGATTTCACCTGCATCACATAAGAAGGTCAGTGACCATCACACCCAAGAGGAAACCTCACATATCCTAGCCACCACTATAGAACAAATATAGAACAAAAAAGCTTCCAATTTAGTCTAATGAGTATCTTACTTTTCATCAACATTAATTTGGAAATTAATGGATAAAAACCCAATTTTCCTAAAGCAGCTATTTTTTTAATCCAATAAAAAAAAGAGAGAGAGACCAGATGGCTTGAGTTTTAAAATGCCCACAGATTGAAATTATTTAACGACTTCCTCTTTAGTAGATGGTCTTCTCAACTTCCTATGCAAATGCACATGACAATCTGCACCAACTCTTATTAGCCCAGGCAAAACTCCAAGCGTTTTCTTTTGCTTACACTTAAACTATTTTTTTAAAAGTGACAGGTAAATAAGATTTAGAACTTGAACTCACAAAAAAGCATTTTTTTTCCTGATCCTCACCTTGGAAGTCTCCACAAATAACGCTAAAAAGTTGCCAGGTCTTTTTAAATACATCCCCCTACACACCTCCCTTGGTCCTCTGAATGAAACTGGATCCACTAGAATATGTTCCAAAGTCAGCTGTGACATTATGCTCTCTGCCAGATTCAGGATACGAATCTAACCTTGGCAACTGGAAGTTCTTTCACCTTACAGAAGCCACCCAAAGGGTTCTGCCTAGCGTGAGCCCCATCAGATACCCAGGAAGTAATGGCCCCGGTGAGCATCAGGGTCTCTTCTCACAACCGGATAACTATCATTTATTCTCTGGAAGAGGATGTTTGAGCTCAGAATCCAGCTGTATCCTAAAACACAGCACCAGTACCAGAAAGTTAACTAGAAAGGAGGTATTCCTCCAGTTAGGAAGTTGCTTTTGAGTGGCACCATTTCCCAAAGGTAACAATGCAGTACTAGTTAAAATCCTAACCTACCATGAAGGTAATGGGCCCAGTGGGGAGGCTGAAGGACAAGCAGATTTGGGGATTTAGCACTTTATTAACACATCACCACAAAACACAGGTTCACACACAGCTCACAGTGACTCAAATTCCCAGGGAAAAATCAAACTGGGAAAACAAAACTTGAATGCCAAACCACATCTGTTAACACATGTCAGGACCCCAGCACCTTTCCTACCAGATTCTCCCCATCTGCCAGGTCCTCCCAAGGGTGGGCCATGCCACATCCCACATGCGCCAGCAGGAACCCTGATTTGAAGGTGTTAGTGATATAGAGTTTAGTTTCAGAGTTGAAGTTACTGAGTAAGGAATAGTGTCTTACTGCCAAGGTAAGATTTAAGGGGGAAACTGAAGCTCAAGGCCAGGAATTCAGTGTGTACCCTTCTGCCAAAACAAGGCAAAAAGGTACTGTTGTAATCTCACTGCTGCTCAACCCGATTCCAAGAAGCAGGCTGGGGTAACAAGCCGCATACTTGCAGAAAGCATCAGCAAACTGTTCAGAGTCCTAAAGCAAATGAGACTGCTTAATTTATATCAAAACTTGCACTTGAACTTTAGTGCCCTTGGCCACTGCCAAGTTTCATGTTACTCAACACACACAAAAAAGAGGAACCACTGGACTCAGTACAAGTTCAGAGTACCTGGTGCTTATGTGAGCAGCATGAAGGGCAGCTTTTAGCTAGAATTTCCAGACACCTGAGATTCAAGGTTACCTGGTCCACTCTGAGGCAGGCAAAAGGCTCGCAGAGCAGGTGGAGACACCACTACACCAGGGTGGTGTTTTAAAACTACAGCTTTGGTGTACATCTTTTTACCGTGATGGTTCTAGAACACATGTCTACTCTCAAACTCCAAAATAGCTGGGCTAAGAACTTCAGGTGAAGAGACTCTACCAAGATGGCCATCATGCAATGGTGGTAAAGAACTGGGGGGCTGGGAATTTCTAGCAACTTCTGTGCCTCCCTTCATCCTCAAAGGATAACTAGTACCATACAGGAAAAAAACATAGCAGAAAGAACTCCAAGGACAAACTGGAAATTTAATTACTTGATGTGGTTCTGATCCTATCTTCACCTGGAGCCTCATTACCCTGGTCCCCAAGCCTTCTAGTAGAAGCAATACTGACTTCTGTAGTAAGTCCTTATGTTGGCAGCTTCATCACATTTCAAAGCTTTAGTTAAACAGATCTGTCATTTTTGTGCAAACGTGTTGCCATCTGACCACAGTGGCAGCCTTTTAAGGTCATGGATGACCACACAGTTTTTAAAGCTGGGATTCACTCTTCATTGCCCCCCTTTTAACACTGAAGCACCCTGGGGTCCCCCTCAATGCAGAATCAGACTTGACTCAAAGCCAATGAATTCAAATATAACTATGGTTCACAGGGAAACAGGAGCTGGTTACACCAAGAAGTGGCTTCTATTCACCTAATGCAGCACAACATGGACACCAGCTAAGCCACATCTGCTTTCAGGAGGACCAAGACATCACATTCCAGAAAAAACCTGAAAATATAATCTTTAGAAAAAGGTAAACCACTCATTTTCTACTAAGCATTTCTGCATTAAGGTAAAATTCATTGCTTAAAGCAAGGAGAGAGCAATCACTCAGGGCTTGAGATTTTTATGGCTACGGGAGAAAGCACAAATCAGGTGCACGGCTTTGACTGAATCACATTAGAAACGAAGCTGGCTGGCAATACTGAGCTTCTTTGCCCTTGATCCTCTAAAGTGATGCTATCTAATAGATCCCACAAAAAGTTGCAAAAGACAAAATCCCTTATCTAAACCTACTGTTAAAGCAACAGTAGCCTAGAACTCTCCCATTTACTAAGCTTGCTTTAGACTAGAGATTAACACTGTTTTCCTTCTAAAGTGCAGAATATAAACAAGTTGGTCAAATCCACCAGAATAAGGAAGATTATTCTTCAATCACTCCATTCTTCCCCAAATACACCAGAACTGATCATTGCAAGGTGCCTCGGTAGTTCCGATGCACATGAGACTGGACTGAACGCTAAACCTCTACCTCACACACAGCACGGGGACACCAGGTTTGATTCTGTAGCAATTTTAAGCCAAAGAACTCTGCCCACAAGAGCAGATCATCCCATAGGTCACTCAGTCTTACTGAAATTCCTGAATTCATTTGCTGTCAAAAAAAAACTTAGAGAAGGGAATCACTATTTTTGACAAAAGAAAAACAAAAAATCAGCCAAAGTAATCCAGAAAAACAGCTTGTCATACTTGGAATGTGACCAAATTGGGTTTCCAATTAAAAACACGGGAAGACCCTCACGTCAGTTACCACAATGACTGTAGACTCAGCACAATCCTTAGTCTTGGGAAGAGCAAAACAAAAGTGATGAGATGATGAAGGGAAAAAAAGTGTCATTCAATAAGAATTCCTTAAAGAAAAAAAAAAAAATCAAACATTCATGTTTCCTATTTACAATCACCCCCCCCACCACCACCACTATAATTCTACTTTAACATTATGTTCCACATTTTATTTTGTTTTCAAGTTACATTTCAAGAAAAGGTCATTTTTTTTCTCAGCAATATCTCACAACTCCTCATGATAGCACAGCATCTAAACCAGGAACCACTTCCAACCAGATCTCAGTCTCCAGCTACTGGCTTTGGTTTATTGATGAAAGAAATCCTCAGCTCTGCTGACAGGGAATAAACATAAGCAATTTAGTCCTCGAACAAAAATTAAGTCACAAGAGCACCCTCATGTTTACCATTTACTGCCTGACTGAAATTGATACAAGAAAATAGACTATCAGCACAACTTCCACGTAACTGCAGAGAATCCCAAGCGAGGGCCCACACAGCCTACTCCAGGCTCAAGTGAGAAGACAGGTAGCTTAATACTTCTCATACCCTGCCCAAGCGTTTCCCCAGTCTCAATCATTGCACAGAGCTCAAATCCAACTGTGCTGATGTTTGGGACATGACATGTTAGTGTCTATCTTGGAAAGATGTGGATAGGTCATACTTCCCATAGCATTTTCCAAAGTGGCACTGGAATAACGGGGCCCTTCAGGGTTGGCTCATGATATACTGTAGACCCATCCAATGGGTACACAAAGGAAAAAAAAGCAGAATCAGAGCTGAGTTCCCCTTTAAAAGCCAAACACCTACATCTAAAAGGAGGCTCCCCTACCTGAGAGCCCTTGCCCTATTGGGGTTCCCACTGTGGAAACCCTCAGGTCTCAAGGTTAGTTACAGGGCAGCCAGGTAGGGTACGGCTGGCTGTAGGTAACTGGAGGATGGGCAATGTAGTAGTTGTTGAAGTTGCCATCACTGACATAGGGAGCTGGCTGGTAGTAACAGGTGACGTTGGTGGCATTGGGGATGATGTTTTGTTCTGCCAGCACACGCAAGGCCAGGAGGGAGATGAGGTTCAGGGTCTGCCTCCGTTCGTGCCCCATGAGGCACACGGTGCTCTCATTCACTACCCTGCGAAGGATCATGAGGTAGTCGTACTTGCTCCTCTCTTCCTCGGCAAAGTGGTTTTGAAGGTAGGTCTCCAACTTCCTTTGCTGCTCGAGGATGTCCGGGAAGTCGATGAAAAACCTTGAGCACATGTAACGCTCCAGAGTTTTGATTTCTTCCTGGTCTGTGGGCCTGAAGTCCCGCACGAGAAGGTTGCTGTACTTGAGCAGTCCCCCGCCCCTGATCTCCTCAGGGTTCTTAGTGGCGATCAGTCTGTTCTGCAGATGGTCGAAGGCTTCCTCAAAGTCCCCGTACATGCTCTCCCCAATCACCGTGGGGTGGAGGTGCTCAGAGATGGGGTTACTGGAGCAGTCATAGAAAAAGAGCAAAGAATCCAGGATGATTTGAAAAGAGTCCACGCTAAACTCAAACTGACGCCGGATGGAGTCGACGAATTTCAGCTCCACATTCCTCCCGTTCTTGTTGGAGAGGGAGATCAGGCTCCAGCGGTCAGTGTCGGTGCAGACCTTCACCAGCTTCTGGACATAAGCCTCCTTCAGGGTAACTGGACTGATTTTGAGCTTGTTCACACCCTCTGGCAGGAAGTTCAGAAGGGAGCACAGAACCACATCTCTGACCAGTTGAAATTCTGCCTCTGTGGGAAGAGCCACGTGAAAGATTAGGTCCAGGTCTTTGCAACCCAAGCCGTTGTCTTTGACCAAGACGTGGCCAGCTGCAGAGCCATTCAGCCGGACGTCCCGCACTTTGATGCCTGCCTCCTCCAGCTGGCTGCGGACAGTCTGGACGATGTCCTTCAGAGTTATCTCCAGGGTTGGAAAGTTGCCTCGTCCGTGGATGGGCACGACCTCGGTCAAGACCTCATGCAGCCGGCTCACCTGATCCCAGGTGAGCACGCTGAAGGACACGCAGTCCCTGGTACTGGCACTGCTGCTCTCCTCCGCCATCCTAGGGGATGTTCTTGCCGGGGGAACTGAAAGGGAGGGATGAGAAACAGAGTTAGGATTCACTTCTACATGGCAAGGCAGCTCGACAGACTCAGAGAAGATGGTGACTTATCTGTGAACATTTTCCTGTAAAATAGCGATAAATGGCACCTACTGCTGGGTGTTGCTGTGAGGATTAAATGAGTTAAATATATAAAGAACAGAGCCTGCAGGGAGTAAGGACAAAATACACATAAGCTTGCCCTACACCAAATTCGATAACTTCATAAGTCTGTTTTATGTGGGTTTCATTTCTTTGTTTGCTTTGTCTGCATGACAGTTGGGGGTGGAGTGTGCTGGTTTGTGTGAAGGGAAGCAGACAAACTTATTAGACCTAGTAACCAAAACACAACATTATTCCATAGAATGCCTATAGGTTTTGCTAATTGTCCTTGTTTTCTATGGAAATGCCCTCTCCTGCTTTTGGCTCCCTCACTACATCCTCAATCGGTTGACACCTAGGGTACAACGCCCACACACAGAACACATGATCCACAAAAAATGAAGGCCTCCTTCACTCCACGAATAGACGAATTCTCAACTCTGGGCTACAACCATCCCTAGAAGAGGGAGTCAGGTCACTCCTGCTGGAGTCAAGTACACGGATGTCCTGTTAGCAAGAATCTCATGGCCTCTCACTTACAGGAGCAGTCTGCCCTACAACACACACCTCTGTCATCCAGGGGAGGACTGAGGAGTTGTCTGAATGACAAAATTCCTGGGTAACAAAGGGTTAGGTCAGCTATGTAATGGAACCGCACCACCCAGCAAGGAGGCCCTACACAGGATGTGGGAAACTTCCTCAGGGCAGTGTGAGCTTTCCATGGGATTTCGGAAATAGTGGAAAGATTTTGAAAAACGTTACAGCTACCTGAGATGAAAAAAGTTAGCACTCAGTACTAGAAGAAAAATATCACTTCTCACACTTCAACTGCTAGAACCACAAAATTACCAAAGCAATTTTAAATTAAGTTGTACTTTTCAGAAAATGAAACACAACAGATGCCTGGAAATCCTAATATATAAAAACAAACACTGGGGGCGCCGGCCCGGTGGCGCAAAGCGGTTAAGTGCGCGCGCTCCGCTGCGGCGGCCCGGGGTTCGCTGGTTCGGATCCCGGGCGTGCACCAACGCACTGCTTGGCAAGCCATGCTGTGGTGGCGTCCCATATAAAGTGGAGGAAGATGGGCACAGATGTTAGCCCAGGGCCGTCTTCCTCAGCAAAAAAAGAGGAGGATTGGCGGATGTTAGCACAGGGCTGATCTCCTCACCAAAAAAAAAAAAAAAAAAACAAACACTGGGGGCCGGCCCGGTGGCATAGTGGTTAAGTTTGCGCGCTCCGCTTCGGCGGCCTGGGGTTCGCCGGTTCAGATCCCGGGCACAGACTGACGCACCTCTTGTCAAGCCATGCTGTGGCGGCGTCCCATATAAAGTACAGGAAGATGTTAGCCCAGGGCCAGTCTTCCTCAGCAAAAAGAGGAGGATTGGCAATGGATGTTAGCTCAGAGCTAATCTTCCTCACCAAAATAAAACCCACAAATACTAATATATTAGAAAGTCAAAATGCCTGTGGCTCCACACAGGTCAAATGTTAGCTAGATGGACATAAGACCTGAAACAATAAGTCAAGGTACTGTCCTCAGACCTCACTGTGAACGGTCTTCCCACCCTCTCCACCTCTCTGACTTGCTAGACACACACAAACTCCATCCCCAGGACTTCGGCAGTTGCACTGTTCGGAAGTTGCTGCTTTTGAATGCACATCCAGCATGCATTGTCCTGGGATTCCAACTTAAATTTTAGTCTTGCACTGGTGCCAGGGATCCTTGCCTTACCCACAGCACTCAGATCAATGGGATGGTTGTCACTCAGTGATGGGGCACCACTGGATACACCAAGAGGAGCTTTCCCGGAGCTGGCCATTAAGAAGGTGGGTGAGAGCACAACATGTCAATACAAGGCAGTGTGTGGTAAAAAGAAAATGGAATATTTAAGGCAGAAGAAAGGAGTGTCCTCTGACTGGGGTGAACAGGAAGGCCACAGAAGAGTTCACTTATGGGGAGGGGACACAAGCCAGTGGAAAGGCAATGTGAGCTCTCAGCTGGGGCTGCGGGGCAGAAGGTAGCATGCAGCCAAGACCTGGCAAGCTGTCCAGTCTGGCCATCAGGCACCTCTCCTCAAGCAAGGTCACAGGCTCCCTTCAGTACCTAGGTTAAGGGACTGAATTTGCTTGGCTGGCAATGGGAAGGTTGATCACATGATCAAAGCAGGCTCTAGGAAGACCAATCTGGGAGTGAGCACTCCTCTGCGTGCTACAGAAGAATACTTGCCAAGGGGAAAATGAAAGGTTCCCTTCAAACCTGTTTGGCCAGTATTAAAAAGCCATAGGCTATCTAGATCATCCTTCCAAAGCACCCCTAAGTTAAGAATATCAAGCTAAATTTGTGATGAAATGCTTAATGTTTATTGTGGCTGGCATTTGGCTTCAAGTCAGAGTTGAGACAGTGGAGTTCTTTTTCATGTGCTCTATGTACACTTGCTTTGTTGTGGCCCCTTTTATGATTAGCATACAGTACACCTGTGCCTGTTACATAGGTACACAATTAAGTTCAAATGATTACAGAAAGGTATGGCTCTAGCTTCATTTTAGAGACTGCAATACTCCGATTTGGTGACACAGGTTTCTGTCAGGTATGTTGATCTACCTATGAAATATAATTTGCTTTACTTTGTGTGTCACCTGTTACTGTGCTTCCAAGGCTCACATTTATGATACAAAGACGAGAAGTCACAGCAACGGAGGAGCCTCAATTCCATCAGTACTTGGATTAGAAAGAACCATTAATTTTAAGAAAATCTCCAGGAAGAACCTCAACAATGTTGCAGAGGAGAACAACCATAGGAATGACTTCTGACTCATGCCTTTTGTGTGTGTGTGTGAGGAAGATCAGCTCTGAGCTCACATCCGATGCCAATCCTCCTCTTTTTGCTGAGGAAGATTGGCCCTGGGCTAACATCCGCGCCCATCTTCCTCTACTTTATAGGGGATGCTGCCAGGGCTTGACAAGCGGTGCCTCAGTGTGCGCCCGGGATCCGAACCAGCGAACCCCGGGCCGCCAAAGCGGAGTGCGGGCACTTAACTACTGCACCACTGGGCCAGCCCCGACTCATGCCTTTTTCTAAAGGAGCTGTTAAAAAAGAAGTCATCTAGAGTTAAAGTCAGGACAACTCTTACCTCTAGAACAGTAGTTCTTAACATCAGAGGAGGGGCATCTAAGACCAGCGAGAATCTGACGCAAGCTCTCTCCTTCCCCTGGCGGGGGAGTTACATACACGCATGAGAATTTTCATATATTTTTGTAATCTCTGAACTGGTAGTAGAGTCAAAGTTAGAATCTGTTATAGACTGAAAATCTGTAAGGTTCATATAGGAGGAGAAGCAGGACTAGCCAGAAAAGTTACAAAAAATAGGAATGATGCACACCAGCCTCATAAGGGATATTATGAAGCCACAGTCATTGAAACAGTGTGGTCCTGGTGCAAAAAGACAGAAAAATGGGCAGAACAGAATTTTTAAAATCTAGAAATTAAACAACTAAAGGTGGCTCCTTATGTTGTACCAAACTAAGATCTAGATGGATGAAGCAGAGACCTAAGTATAAAAGGAAGAAATCCTAGGAGTACTAGAAAAAAACATGGAATTTATACACACTTACAGAGAGCAGGCAGTCCTTTCTAAATCACATAAAAGCTAAAAGTCACAAAAAATTGATACATTTGCCTATATAAAAATTAAAGCATCTACATGGTAAAAACACCATAAAGAAGTCAGAAGACAAAACTAGGAAAATATCTGCCACATTAGGAAAAATAATTATTTCCTTAATGAACGGTAAGTGCCTACAAATCAGAAATACTACAACCTCAACAGAAGAAGGGGCAAAGGATGTGAGCAGTGGCTCAGATGGATAACATATTCAACCTTACCTTAAGCAATGGGCAAATTAAAACCTCAATGTATCATTTTGACCTATCAGATTGGCAAAGACCAAGAAGCAGACACCTTTGGTACCCAGCCTGTAGGCTCTCTCTGGAGAGCAACATGGGACTCTCAACTCTAAGTGGACGTACTTTTTGACATGGCAATTCTACTTCTAGGAAATCTACTTTGGATTTTATCCTATGGGTATACTTGCAAGTATGCACAACGATATTTACTGGAGAATTATTTATAAAGCTATAAGTAGTCATCAATGGAGGAAGGTTAAATGACTTGACGCATGCATACAGTAGTATACAAATGCATGCGTTGTCCAAAAGAATGGTGGCAACTCTCTCTGTATGAATGTGCAATGCTCGTCAAGATTAATAGAAAAGCAAGTGCAAAACTGCGTGTGTAAAAGCACAAGTCTCTGCTCATACAATCATAAAAATCTCTGGAAGGACACACAAGTAGCTCAGCCCACACCAAATACCACCTCTAGGTTGGGGGACAGGGGATGAAGAAAACTTCCCTTTTGAATTTAGAACCTATACATGTATCAGTTGAAAAAAGTTAAAATCTTATGAGCCATGTTCTAAAATCTTTCCCCTATGAGCCTTGTACTCATCTACTACCTTCTTTACTTCCTTCAGTTCCCTCCCCACCATGCCCATACCCATGTGCCAAAATCAAATACACTTAGAAGTTCCCCCTTAAATGTTGATCTCTAGAGGGGTGCGCAGGGGAGAAGGGACTGTTTTTCCTCTAGAATGGCTTTTAGTCAAGTTTCTACTTACATACTGTTCAAAACAAGATATCCATTGTTTATGAAAAAAAAAAAAACCCAAAACTTTCAAAATAATGGATAAGCCATCTCATCTAGTCCCATTCTATGTTGGTTATCCAAAAATGTTTTTTGTAGTTTTACAAGAATTGCTATTTCTCATTTCAGACATACTAGAGCTACCCTCATGATACTGTCATGTTGATTATTGGCTACAGA